TGGCTATTGACTATTCTTTGCCTGTCTGGTAAATTAAGCAAGACAAAATAATTGAAAACTATATAACAAATGAGGATATAAATTAACAGCAGTGAAAAAACTCCAGACTTAGTTATTAAATGATGGAATTGGGTAATTAAAAGAAGATAAGTTTCCTTTAATGGAAGTATTTTTGAAAAACACATGTTTGAGTTTAGGTTCTTTTTTGAATGACAGACTTTGCAAATATCTGTGTAAGAATTGCAGAAGAACTCACAGCCAGGAAAGGGTTAGAACTGAAGTACATTAGTTTATCATTTCAGTTTGGTAGCCACCAGCCTCATGTAGCTGTTGAGCATTTAGAATATGGCCAGCCTGAATTGAGATATGCTGTAAGAGGAGAGTACAAAAAGATAACATGTTTCACTAATAATTGTAAATGTATGTTGAAATAATAACACATTTTATCTCTTGTATTAGATAAAATGTTGTTAAAATGAATTTCATTTGTTTCTTTTTACTCTTGTTTTTAAATATTTTTTTTAGTTGTAGATGGACACAATACCTTTATTTTGTTTATTTTTATGTGGTGCTGGGATAGTATCCAGTACTTCACACATGCTCAGCAAGCGCTCTACCACTGAGCCACAACCCCTGCCCTCTTTTTACTCTTTTAATGTGGCTACTAAACAAATTTAAATTATATGTGTGACTTGCATCGTTTTTCTACTAGATAGTGCTGGTCTAAATCCTCATTGACTGGTTCTGGGCAAACTAACCCTTACAGTTAGGCCTTTTAACTTCAGATACTGAGGTTGAGACTGCTACTCCAAGGCCAACAATGTCAAGAATTGTTCCTTTCCTTAAATATATATATACCCCAGTTTGTTTTTATCCATGGTCAAATAAACTTACTGCAAAACTATGGCACTCTGTAGCTATTATCTGATTTTCAACAGATAATATGAAGAGTTCTGCTATTGTAAGAACAAATGGTAGTAAAATGAATAATAAAAATACTTTCTGGGAAAAATATTTTTCTCTTGAAAATTAGTTTTAAGACTGACCACCTGAAACAGCTTCCCTAAACTATCCCTTATTTGAGAGACAGCCTGATAGGCAGACCGTGGACACATAGTTGCTTTACTTCTTAGGAAATTAGTTGGAGTTCTAATACTGTATATATCGGGTTGATTTAATATAGACACATAATTAGATGCAAGGGCATGAAATATAGAAATAGATGATTCAAAAATCATTTTAAGTATGATTCAAAAATCATACTAAGGAGGCTAAGGCAGAAGGATCCTCAGCAATTTAGTGAGACCCTGTCTCAAAATTTTAAAAATAGGGCTGGGGCTGGGCTTAGCAGTAGTGCACTTGCCTGGCATGTGTGAGGCACTGGGCTTGATTCTCAGCACCACATAAAGATAATAGTCTATCAACAACTAAAAAAAAATTTTAAATTAAAAAATAAATTTTTAAGGACTAGGGACATTTCTCAGTGGTAGAGTGCCCCTGGATTCAATCCCAAGTACTGAAAAAATTATTTTAAAATATCCCTGAGAATCTATAAAATAAGGAAGTACAAGAAAATAGAGAGAGTTGCCACTTATTAGTCTGTAACAAACCAGCACTTTAAAACAGAGATGGCAACTGGGTTACATCACTCACACATATATTTTGTGCTAAAATTATATTTTGTGCTAAATTATTATCATCTACTTTCAAATTTCTTCTTACTCTGCCCCATGAATTGATTTGTAGACAAATAGTAGTTTTAGTTTACTGTATCAGCATGGAGTTCATCTCTCTCTCTCTCTCTCTCTCTCTCTCTATCTATCTATCTATCTATATATATATATGCACATATATACAATATCTTTAATATATTTTAATTGTAGAAGGACACAGTACCTTTATCATTTTATGCAGTGCTGAGGATTGAACCCAGACCTTCACAGGAGCTAGGCAAACACTCTGCCACTGAGCTACAACCCCAGCCCTATTTTATCTTTAATTTATATTCACATTTAAAAGTAATCTTTTTGAGTCTAGTATCCTAGGAATCTTATAGTTAAGATGCACATATAATGTAATTTTGTTTTTTAAATTGTGCTTTTCTCTTTGAGCTATTTAATTGATACTTGAATTATGGAAAACAGTACCACAGTTAACCTAAATATAAGCCATCTTTTGCGTCATTGTCCCTATCCTTTCAAATATATTTTTATGTTGTTGGGTTTTGTGCTATCCAGTCAGTGTTCTGATTTTAGTCCCCAAAATGTCATATCCAGTGACATTTAAATAACTTTAGTCTTTGAAGGCAGAGCCCCCAGCAATTCTGCCTTTGTTTGGAGAATGGGTGGGTGATAAGACCAGACCAAGAGCTTGTTCAGCTGTTTACCAAGCAGAAATGTGAGGCTCAAGTGGTGGTGGGAGTTCTTTAGAACATCCATTTCTACTTGCAAGCTCTCAGTGTAACAAAAGCTTCACAGCAGATGGTGAGTGTGAGAATTGAAGCAACTGTAGTTACATGCAACCAGCAAAATAGAAAATAAACCCCAAAGAGGAAAAGAGATTGGTTTTCATTGTGGCAAACACTAAATACATTTACTTCATGACTCCAGTGTCAGAGCATTGAGTGCTTTTGATCAGAACAGAGACAGAGATGAATGGAAAGAGAATAACTAATGTGAAAACAGAAGGTATGAGAAGGTGACTTCTAATAAAATGAGAAGCTAGAGATAAACATAAAAATGGGTAATAAAACTCCTAAGAAGCTATTCATAGAATCAGGAGGCAGAACATTCTTGAAGAGAGAGAAAAAAGTGTTCAGGCATCTGATTGATGTTGTCTGGCTCAACCAGGCCCTCCAGCACACTTTTAAAAGCCTTCCTCATGGTCATGACTTCCTTGCACAAACTCCACAGCTGCTTCATACCCTCCTCTCCTGCAGAGCCTTCCCAGTGGATTTTGGACACATTTTCCCTGTGTCTCTGATCTCTTCTTTTGTAGTGAACATAGAGCCCCCAGCTCACATTCACTCAGCTTAATTCCCTGCCCCTGTGTGTTATGCTCCATGGGCCTCTCACATCTGGCTTCTCATTTGAATCTTATCAGTGCTCTTTGAAACTGATTTAGTAGACTCTGCAGGTACCTATCACCATCTCCATTTCATTGGCTATAAGGAAGACATTTGCAGAAGTTAATAGCCTGCAGGTGGAGGGACAAAGGCAGTACTAGCACCAAGTTTTCTGACTTTCAATCCCATAGACTTTGTATCCTTTCCACTTACTGCCACACAGAGTACTTCCTTTACAACTACAGCAAAAGCAGACAAGCAAAATATCTTTTGACTTTGCTATTCCTTTTTTACTGCCAGAATCTTCAAAGAGGATCATGTCCAAACCCATGGCACAGCATAGTGGAAGGGCTACTGACTTTGGAGTCAAGCAGGTCAGGGTTCAAAGCCTATCCCTTTGATAGCCATGTGACCTCGAATATGTTTCCATACCTCAGTTTCCTTACTGTAAGGTAACTACCTCACAGGGTTGTTGCAATGTTAAATGACAGAGACTGTACTGATTAAGTAGCCTAGTGAGTAGCATGATAAATTTTAATTTATTATTAGATGATTGTCTCCTGCATACTGACTTTGACCCTGAACTTTTCATAGAACTTGATACAGCCCAAAATGCTCATGACCTTCTCTGGTTGAATCTTAAGGCCTTTTCACAGCTTTCAGCCTTCTCTACCCACATATGTCTTTACTGCCTTTATTCCCTTGACTTTCTTAATATCATATTGTTGATTCCTCCTTTTACAGTGGTTTATATTTTATCTACTTTACTACCTTCTTTTTCCTCATACTACCCTTATGTATGTAAGTCTTCTGAGGTTCCATTTATAGCAATTGCTCTTGTTGACAGACAGAGTTGAATTAATAAATCAGAACGGAAATCATATTATCATATTTTGCTTTGTGCAACACATCCTTAGCGTTCCTTGTTTCTTCCTTGCTTGTCTCCTTTCTACTTTTAAATATAAAAACATCACACTGAACTTGATTCATCAGCAAACAGGCAAAGCCCACTCCTGTCAGCACTGGAAGGCTTTAATTATCTTATTCCATGTAGACATGGCAAGTGATGCTTCTGCCCAAACTGTTTCAGTGAGATGATGATGATGTTAACAATTTTGCTTTCCAAATAGTATTACAGAGTTTAAGCAGCAGTGTCACATACATTATCTGAATTTGTTCTTCAGAATTATACTGTAAGGCAGGTAGATCCTTAATTATCCAACACATTTTATAGATGTAAAAAAAAAATCCTAGAGAAACAATTCTGGGCTGGGGGTGTAGCTCAGCTACAAACCCCTAGCATGTACAAAGTCCTGTGTTCAATCCTCAGCATTGCAAGAAAGAAAGAAAGAGAGGGAGAGAGAGAGAAAGAAAGTTAGTTCGATTGATTCTGACTTTGACTCTAGGACTAGTGCCTTCTTTGTTTAAACCATACTATTTTTTGCTCCCTATTCCAGGTAACTTTGCTGATATATTTGTAAATCTTAGATTTTAGGCTAAACAATAGACAGTACATTCTTATCTGAGGGGAAACTAAAAAAGAGATAAAATAGTAATTTAAGGTACCTATTGGTAGATTGAGGAAGAGGTTATAAATTTGGAAACTAAAACTTGATACCAGAGTTTGGGGAAGTATTTATTTGTGTGTTTATTTTACTTTGGAGCAAAGTATTTATTTGTACTAAGAAGTGTAAATGTGTTCTTAATAAGAGCTGACTCATGTAATGTATATAGATTTAAGCTGATAAAAATTATGAAATGTTATATTGTCAAATATTTTAAAGGATTAAAAGTTAAGCTTGATTTAAGTGGGGAATTTCATCTCTTTAGTTAGAGAAGTCTTCATGTTACCATAGACCACATCATTCACTCATCATTCACTCTAATTGTCTTGTGTTCCTACCCTAATGAAGTATGTTGTATGTTTGTTTTGCAGATCTAAAGCGGGAAGCCAGTATCTGTCATATGCTGAAACATCCACACATTGTAGAGTTATTGGAGACATATAGCTCAGATGGAATGCTTTACATGGTTTTTGAATTGTGAGTGTAAATTTTATTTCTTAAGGAGTAAAATTTTAAGCAACATTGGTTTTAGAAAATACTAACAATTTTCTCTTCAACTTTAGCAATAGTTGTGACCTCATCTGTTTAGAAAGACCCGAAAGCACAGGGAAAAAAGGATTATTTCATCTTAAGGTTCATGACAAAGGAAGCAAAAGCTGGGTGTATTTGGTTATCCTCACACTTTTAAGCACACTTCAGAGAAGAGGCTCCAAAAGGAAATAGAATTCAGAGGTAAATAAGAGGCCCCAAAATGTGCAATTCTGACCAAGAGGTCAGTCTGAGGTGAAGAGTAGGATGAAGTGGAGGCTTCCATGTAGCAAATCTCCCTGGCAACTTAAAATGAGCAATAACAGACAACTTCTTCTTTTGATATAATCACTACATTGTCAAATGAGGGAAATTCTGTGGCTAATAGTGTATCTTGATTTCAGGAAGGTCCTTGACGTGTTACAAAATTTTAATGAGTCAGAGAAATGTGAGCTAAGGATAGTACAACTGAGTATCCCATAGCTAGTTGGATGATTGTCCAAAGAGATTTATGGGACAGCATACTACAGGGTTTTGTATTTACCCTATTCTGTTCAGAATTAATCAGTAACTTTGGTCAGGAAAATTAAAAAGGAAGATATACATGCTAAACATTCAAAAGATACCAAGGTTGGAGGGTGTGTTCATTAGCTATGACTTCATAGCAAATCATAGCCAAAAACTTAGTGACTTAAAACAGCACATGCATTATCTCAGTCTCTGTATGTCAAGAATGTGAGCACCATTCAGGTGGGTCCTTTAGCTCTAGGTCTCTCACAAGGTGGTAACCACGGTGTTAGCCAGAGCCAAAGCCATTTTCAGTCTTCACTGGAGAGAGGGGGTTAGTTCTTCTTCCAAGCTCATTCACATGGTTGTTGTCAGTCTTCAGTTCCTCTTGGATTCTTGAACTGAGGGTCTCAGTTCCTTAAGAGCTGCTGGCTTCAGGTGTTCCTTGGTTCCTTGTCACATGGGCCTTTAAATCAATATGGCCAGTGGCTGCATCAGAGCAAGCAAACAAGCAAGAAGAAATGGGAGGTAGAAGTCACAGACTTATAATGTAGTCTCCAAAATTATATACCATCACTTCTGCCTTATTCTCCTAGTTGGAAACAAGTCAGTAGGTCCAGCCCACATACCACCACCTGAATACCAGGAGATAGGAATCTCTAGGAAGCATTTCACAAACTGCCCCCCACAGAGAGCTAGCTGCCACATTAGTGATCTATACCAAAACTCAAAAATAGTTTACAAGCTTGTAGTCAAGGAGCTGAAACAAAGAAAGTGAAATTTAAGACCAGTTAATATAAACTCCTTCATTCAAATATATAAGTGCAAGACGGGTGTGAATTTAGTTGTGACTACTTATGTGAAAAAGATGTTAATGTTTTACTTAGTCGTTTGCAATAGCTAAAAAGCCCTGAATGGAATGTTAGGTTACATTAATGAGAAGTAGATAATATTCTGAACAGAGCCACACTCCCACCATATTATACACTGCTTGTTCTCCCGGAGTGTCTGTAGTAAGCAGGACACAGGAATATTTACAGAAGGGTATAACCAGAACGAAAAGGAGCCTGGAGATTCTCTCATAGAGTCATGGCCTTCAGTCTCTTTGCCAGCAAACCTACTAACAGAATTTTGAAAAACCTAGATGCCCTTCTCACATGTTTTTAAGTTGGTATATAAAAATTTTTATTGCGAGAATATAATTTTTAGTGTCTTGGATTTTCCTTTAAATATATTTCCTTCACAACTGCAGAGCTGCACATTTATCTCATTTGCTTTATGGGAAGTGCCTGCTATGTGACCTACATGGCTAAAGCTAGTCCTCGCTGTCAAATCACTCAGCCAAATCAGACTCACTTTTCTGTCAGAAAAAAAAAAAAATCCGACTTCATTTTTCAAATAAAATTAAAGTGTTAATAGACTTCCCAATGACACTCCTCTTACTATTGATTTCGAATTCTAAAATAGATCAGGCTTTGCTATGAATATGTTATCTGGATGAAATATGGTGACATCTCCTTTTCTTTCTCAAATTCTCTTTGCTCCCAGTTGTGTCTCCCTCCCACAGGAGCTGTGTATTCCCCAACTGTCTCTTTGAAGTTAGACAGGCTTTTCAGGATAGGGAAGCAGTTGGTCTTTGGAGATAACTGATTGCAGATGTGGAGATGTGAAAGGAAAACTAGATTCATTTTCAAGTAGACTATGTTATAGCAAATGACGATATGGAAATCAATTGCCTTAAAATATACTAGTTCATGTGTTCCCAGGAAGGACTTTTAGTACTCCCAGATATACCTGAATCCCAGGTTGAAGACCCCCTGGCATGGAAGAGCTCTTGAAAACACTAGAGGCTTTAGTTCCCCAAGAATTTATTGGTTTTCTTATTCTACTAAGAGTCCCCAGCACAGAAAGCCATAGGTATAACATACTTAATGTTTTCAGTTATTTGAAAGATCATCATGTATACGATTATATGCTTAATCACTATAATATCACAAGCCATAAGTAGAATCAACAAGTGTCAGATTTCACCTCTAAGAAGACCTGTAATGGTGACACTTACTCCTTCCAAGGGGACAAAGATAGGTTTTACTTTTGGTTTAGAGAGGGACTCTGCTGTGCCTTCCAATTTTAAGATACTGTAATTTTTTCAGAATGACTTTTCTGGTTTAATTTTATTCTCCATTGAATAAATCTGTTTCTATCCATATTTTTTTCTCTGAGAAAAGCAAAAGCAGATTTATTCATATACTTTAAAGTAATGAGCACAGAAAGCAACATTTAAAAATTCACCTGATTTCTACCATGTTTACTGTTTGTATCAAAGGGGTCTAAATGACAGAGTAGTAGAGAGAAGATGATCTTTGGTGTCATAAAATGGGTTTTAGTTTCTCAGTGTTAAGCAGTCTCTATGAGATATTTATAGTCAATTTTGTGTGATGCAGGTGTGACTAAAATAATTCAATGGCTATACATTGAGATAAAAACTCATTAAAGTTGGATATTTACCAGTAAATTATCCAAATTAATCCTAATTTAATCCAGATTACTAGAATATTGTTTGGTATTTCATTTTTTAATACATTTTTACTTTATTTTGTAGAGTGTCAGATAAAGAGATTATAGTATAATCAATGCCAGCATCTGAGCCATTGAGTTCAAAATATTTTGCCATTCCTGTTCAAGCTATCTTTCACCCCTGAAGATTTCTAGAGCAATGTCACTTCTCCTATAAATACTCCTGTTTGTGCTTCTAACAGATAAGGACTTTAAAAAATGATCGTAATAATATTATCATATCTTAACAAATCAATACTATTTCCTTAATGCCATGTCATATTCAGTTGCTGCTCAATTTTCCCTGATTGAACATGAATCTTAAATGATAAATTTCTCAATTTAGAATTGTTTTATGAGCTCTAGGGATCTAGAAGGAGATTGTAAATTCACAGTTAAAATAACTTCTATAGAAATATAAAACTGTTCTTTTTGTACCATTGTTTTATAAATTCACCTCAACATTTGCCCTCACCCAATTTTTTGCATTCTCCTCAACTCCTAGTTTCAAACCAACAGACCCAAAACATTGATTACTGTGATTTAAAGTAATGTGGATCAAAGAGCAAAACCAAAAAACTTGTGTGCGCCTCCACCTACTGGCTAGGTGAGAGATTGCTTCTATAGCTGCATTCTAAGCTAAGCTACTCTAGAATTGGTTCCATGTTCCTGATAATAGATGTCATTTTCCCCAGTATTCAAGGGCTCATTGCTAAGGTTATGAGTGACCTAGACTTGTTTCCAAGTTTTCTACCATGACACTATTACAGAGTAGACAAGGAAAAGTAAAACAAATAAAATTAGACTAGTTAACTTTGCTTGTAAACCACTCTTATTGTTTATGTGGACAGAAGGCTAGATAAAACAACATATTTTAATTACCACCAAGTTTCTTAACATGGTATCCATGTCTGTCTTTACTATAGACTATGTATAAGCAACCCTCCTTTTCTCTTCCTAAATGAAAGTCATGAAGTTGTATGACCCAATCATGTTGTTTATTTGTTTAAAAAAAAATCCTTAGAATGAGTTGATATTCACTTAGTTACAGTTGTTAAGTTTAAAGCAAACGTAAACACAGGGACTCACAGAGCTAGAATGTTCAAGCTGGAAAAGACGATTTCAAAACTTAGATTATAAAATCCTATGGAGAAATTGTTAGACAACATGTACCCAGGCTCTGTCCGTAGACTTTCAGTTTCAGCAGATACACATCCTGAAAGCACAGATCTAGAGGACTGACCTTCAAAGTAGGGCCAATACTACTTAGAGATTTCTTTGTCATTTCCCCCAATACATACAGTAGTTAGACATCTGCATGAGTTTGCATTACATCCATTTCTTTGGGATTACATTTAAATTGGAACCTGTCTGTAGCAATTTGCTGAAATGTATTTTAAAATACAGGTTCCATTCTGAAGACAGGACTGAGTTATATTACTTCCCCAAAATTAAATGTTTATTTCTAAGTAACACATTCAGGCTTGTCTTTAGTAGTGTCTGGTACTTGAGTTAAGCTGTAAATCCTAAATTGGCTGGCTAAGGAATTTTAATTACCTTATTATAGAATGATTACATATACCACAGGGAGACTTTTACAGTAATTAAATATGGATTTAAAATATATCTGACATGAAAATAATAGTTTGTATCTCTTAAAATAATATTAGTAGTTTGTGTTTTTGAAGCCAATAAAGGATATAATAGACTGAAACTGCTTCTATTTATTTTTTACTTTATTTTTTGTCAGATATTTATGCTTGTAGAAGGGAGTATTTGTGAAATTCATTTATATTGATAGAGTGGAAATGACTATTACTTACCAGCAAATTTGCCACTTAAGGGAAAATATGTCTGTCTCAAATCAAACAATAAAAATCTGGACT